TCTGATGTTTTGGAAGGACTTCAGGCCATTGCTTTTAGGTGGAAGGAAGCCCCATGGCACCCCCTTGCCCAGCAGGTAACGTTCCTGTGTACTGGCTTGATTACCACCAGCATATCTTTCTTCTTCTCTTGGCAGCAAGAATCTTTAAATCTGTCTAATCTGAACTAGAGTGAGCACTGTTTCCTTTTCCTGAGAGACAGCCATCCTAAGTTTTTTACATAAAACACAGAAGTTTAAAAATTAGATAGGTTCTAGAAGATCAAGCTAAAGCAGGAATTAAAAACCTGGAAGACAATAGATAGCCACTTAAATGAGAGTTTGCAGCCCCGTGGTACCATGGAGAACCCTCTGCAAGGGGGAGAGATGGGGCAATGTGGATGTTAACTTTCTCTTTTCCTCCTCCCTCCAGCATGCAGATACTGTGGGACACTGTGGGACCAGTATAAACTTTGTTCCAGCCAGCACTGCCGGCAGCTTGTCCTGACATGTCCAAGTTGTCACAACAAAGGTCTTACAGCTTGCTGTCCTGTTTGTCAAGAGAAAGAACTCAAGGTGACTTCAAGGGCTTCAGGACAGACACTTAAGGAGGAATGTGAATGTACAAGGAGACGGCCAAGGGTACCTATTGAACGTGTCTTGCAAAGAATGCTGGACGCAGGAAAAGATTAAGCTGTTTCATTAGCTAATCTGATATGTGCTAATGCCAAGGGCTCTATAACCAGATCCCTATCTGCTTTTCAGTTAGGTTTGGGAATCATGAAAATGTGTTGGCTTGGAAAGTCTTGTTCATACACTGCCTTTAAGCCTAGAGTATGCCCTGAAAACCATCCATTACTTGACTGTGAATTACCAGATTGCCCAAACCCATCACCAGCACTCCAGGATTCCTCTCCCTGGCTACAGTCTTGTAGCATGGCCTCTACCGTGGGGATTTTGAAGCAGAGTATGTGTGGTGGGACACAGCTGCTCACAATTTGAAAGAAACTGAAGGGACATAAGAACAATTCCATTCTTTTCCTCCTGCACAGAGATGGATCTGTACAGTCTCTCCATTGATCACATATTTGCTTCAATAGCTAGTGCTAGGGTGTGAAAACAGCAGATAGATCAGTTGCGTGTGGGTACATGACCAGATTAGAGCTGAAGATATTTTCCACGTACATGCCAACTGCCTGCATCTCTTACTTTATGCCAGTAAGAAGCAAGGGGTAGTTACCTGAAGTCACTGATTTCTGTGTAAAACTGGCCGAAGGCCAGGCTGAAGTGACCCCTCTTGTAACTGGAGCAAAGGCCCACAGATACTGTCTGCCCAGCCATACTTGTTGTGTGTGACCTGTAGGATGAACGGCAAAAGCAATCCTTATTCCAATGCTCTGTCTCCTGGGAACTGTTGTTTCCCTCAACTTGTCCATGAAATATCCAGGGCTCAGCTCTGCTTGCACTACAAAAAAACCAACAGCTTGAAGCATGTTGAAACTGAGGCACACAGAGAGTGGAGCACAGAGACTGTCAAAATACCAGCATTATGGCACTGGAAGTGATGCTGATGTGTGCATAAATGTCAGCAACAGCTATAAAGGGATTGCAAAGTCCTTTACCCAAGTTAAATAATTCAAGATTTGGGCAGCATTTGTGCTTTGTAAACGTGGATGGAGTTTTTCAAAAGCTGTGAGATGTTTATGCAATTTCCAGCTCCTATTAGTGGAGAAATTGTCTTTGAATTTGAAGGGATCCACAGCATATGAACTCAAAGAACTTCTCCATCTGCTGCTTTCTGTGCCTGATGCTGTAGAATGTACAAAAAGGTTTTATAAATGGTGTAGAAGATGTGTCTTGACTGAAAAATGTCTTTGAAACTTACTCTCATTCTTGGTACTAAATAGTAGTTAGTCATTAGGAAATCAAAATACTGGTTTGTTGGGGGTTTTTACTGGCAACTGCTTTTAAAAGCAAGAAAACAGTTTACTCAGGTTTCTGCAGTTGCTTAATGACAGTTAGGGCAATGTTATTTTCATATAGATTGTAACTTTCTCCCACAGTGCTATGAATTCAGCAAGGCCTCGTTGTTGGCTTGACTAGCAACTTAAGGCCATGGGCATTGGTTCCATTAAAGCCACGGCAAGCATTTCTTCTTACTTCCAGTATGGCTACTGTGAAATCGAGGGTTCATCAACTGTCTTTATGACTGTTTCTTTCAAGAAGCAAAACTTGGGAACTTATGAATGTCTCCTTTGGGAAGATTTCTAGGATGGTATTTAATAGTAAATCTGTGCACAGCCCATACTGGAGAAGAAATTGGAAAATTCCTATCAGTAGACATCTTCAGCAGAAGTCTAAGCAGTACCCATGGTCCCCTGGCATCTTGCCTCCCAAGCTTTGCTGGCCAGTTAACCTCTGTGCTTTTGAGGACTGGAATATTTCTGGAAAAACATGCAAGCTCTACTTGCAGGCCTGGTCTAGAGCACTGACAGGAGTGCCCCAACTTGCATATTACACTCTTTTCTTCATATATTAGGCTAAAAAGAACACAATTTTATAATTCAGTCTATCAGCAAGTCTGGAACACTGTAATCTATTTGGAAGGCTGTTTCTGTATCACTTGCCAGTACAGAATGGCAACAATTATATTTTATATGTAAACTTCTGAAACTCCTATGATGATAAATAACCTTTAGTGTTTCCATTGTAATTTTTAAAAAGTACTGCATAAATACACTTCACCTGTTATATTGGAGGTGCTTAATTCTGCAGAGGTAAATGCTGAAACCTCGCTAGCTGTCTGCCATGTGGTATACCTGGCTACAAGGTACAATTGTCCTGAGAGCTCTTGGCAGCTGGACATTCTACCTCAAAGGCAGAGGGGAGCCGTGGGGCTTCTTTTGGTCCTTGCTGCACTAAGGCAAGGGAGGAGAAGGTTTGAGATGTACAGATGGAGGCCCATAAAGCCAGGTTCCCTCTGCTGCAGAAAGGAGGTTGAGAGACATCCTTAACATCCCTGTTGCATGTTAGCCCACGAGCAGCTTCTGTATCCTGGCTTCTGGATTAGTTTCATCAGATTAATACAAATAAGGACTTGCCATGTGAAATGCTGTGTGGTGGGATCCAGGCACCTCAGTGATAATGCTTGAGAGAAGGCAAGTTAGTTCCAGGAGAGGTGAGAGTTAAGCAGGATTGGCTGTGACTGCCAGATGCTGCAGTCAGCAGATGGCTTTTTCCTCTTTTCCTGGAGAGCTGCTGGGACAAACAGTGATCCATTTGCTCCTAAATATCACCATTTTGTATCTATCTATCTCCATTGCTGCACAGCTTGATGCCTTTCACCACAAGGCCTGATGCCTCTCAGCACAGCCTGCCACTGCTCAACAGCTCTCGCATGCATCTTTCAGTAAAGCAGCTCTATAAGGATCAACTGAGGACCATGGAGTGATCCTGCCAGCTAAGTACACCTTTGGGCTGCATTGTTAATTTGGATGCTGCTACAGTGAAACACAGGACAAGGTTCCTGTTTTTTTGTTTGGTTTTTTTTTTTTTCTTTCAGGAAAAAATGTTGTTGTAGTATCCATGGTAATGCTCCCTGCTCTGCAGATGCATCTCCTTGTGTGTCTGGGTTTCTTAGTACCATCAGGATTTCCCAGGATAAGATGCATTTATGTTCTTCTGAAGCCAATGGAAGAGCTGAGCCCATACCATGCAAATCTGAGTGGATGGCTCAGCTGAAACTGTGTGTCTGTGGTTTGATGATTTAGTTGACCATTTTGAAGTCTTTGCAGTGCATATGGAAGAAGGAGGCTGTCTGCCAGTTTGTTTTGTTTTGTTGTTTTTTTTTTTTTTTAAATATGTTTTCAAGTATTTTTCTTCTGTATTCTTTTCATTTTCTGATACGAAACTTGCTGGGGGGGGGGGGAAGCTATAGTGAAGCATTTTGTTTGACACCACTGGTGCATTTATTAAGTTTTGAAGAGCAACAAATATGTTTCCCACATTGCTGAAAGTACAGTGTTTCTCTGCTTCATCGGCCAGAGCTAAATCGTGGGTGGTATTTGCGCATAAGCTCTGAAGAAATCTGTGGGACTTTTGCTGGAATATGTGTAAAAGGCTGCAAAACTTCACTCTTAACAGACATGTACAGACAGATTTCTAGCAAGTAACAACCTTTTCTAGGACATGTTGTCATCAGACCAAGAATAAGGCTTCAGTATAGCAGTGCTTCTGCTGGGAGACTCTTCTTACTGAGCAGGCTCCCACCCACATTAATAGCAGGAGTTCTGAATGGGATAATGCTGGGTTCAAGCCACTGCATGTCTGGGAGCTACGCAAGCCTATGGGGAATTCCTCCCAGGCTAGATGATGGGTGGTCAACTGACAAAAAGCTGTCAGACTGTACGCAGTGTAAGTTCAGGGTTGGGGTACCTCTCTGAACAGCTTTTCTATGGCACAGCATTTATTGTTGCATTTATGCAGACATTGGGGATGGCAGTAAAAGAAACAATCCCTAGCAGAACAAAATTTAATTAATGGACATGGTCATCTAGACAAAACAGCAAAGAGCGAGAATTTGACTTGTTTCCAGTGGCTATCTGGACACACGCTTTTAACATTAGGAAACTGAAGGGAGTGGGGATTAGAGGAGAGGGCTCTGGTTTGCTGATTAGTTTGGCCATCTCTGTGGGGTTAGGATTTGCATCACATCGCTGAAGGTGATAGTTTTCTTCAGACATGTATAGCATAGAAAGACGTTAATCCACCTTAAACTGCTCAACTTTTGAGACTCTGTTTTATAATTCGTGGCCTTAAGTTCCATTTAATCAGGGGGCAGAGATCAGTTTTTTTCTGAGAAACACAGGGATGCATTTGAAACAGCATCTCCACTAACTGACTCAGCAAATGTTGGTAAAAAATTGTGATTCACAATTCTTGAAATTAGCCATGTTTCCAGATAGTAGAAGTGCTTGTTAAACTAGTTGCTCCTCTGCAGTTACTTGAGATCAATTTGGAAAAAAAAAATAAAGTATTTTTTAATACTTCTATAATTTGTGTGGAACAGTTGTATCTTTCACTCATGCATACCACATCCTAACTGTATGAAACACCGTGCAGGAAGTTTATAGAAAAATTAGGTCCCAGGTTAATTAAGAGTCACTTTTACACTGGGATGTACTCTAAACTGAGATTGCATGAAATTGGCTTGAATAGTTTCCAACTCTACAGAAAACATCAACAGTCCTACTGGATAAAATGTTCAACTACAGCCACTAGTTAATTTAAACTGTTAGTGCATAAAACAGAACCGAGGCACCACAAATACTCTGTCAAGGCACTTATTGCCTTAGATTTCCACAGTGTAGCACAGATCACCAGGAATGACCTCCACAGTGGAGAACTACACTCCAGTTCTGCACTTGGGAAAAATAGGCCCATTCAACTCTTCAAGTCTTCTCTTCCTCACTGAAAAAGAAGAGGAAGAGGAGTCAGTCATGGCAACAGGAAGATGTGGATAGCAGGCTTGGCTTACCTGCTGTGGAAAGGAGCCGAGAGATGTACTTTCTGTCAGGAAAGAAACAGGACAGCATCAGCTTCTGAATTCCTGCTTTAAGCAGCAGGCACAGCCTTTTGCAGTTTAAAATCAAGGAAGGTAGGATGAAGTTTCTCTCCCTATGAATTTTTAAGGCCGGATTTCAGCCTTATCTGCCTTATTCTACAGTCAATTGTATTTCACATAGTTTGTAATCTGACTTGGGCCAAATCATCATCTGATGCTGACTGATGTAAAGACAGCAGGAGATGGATGCCACAGTTTTTCCTTTGCTAGTTTTTCTAAATCGCCATTTCAAACTTAATAAAAAATTCCACCTCATTTCTTATCTTAAGCCTTTACCCTCCAGCCCTCTGATCATGGTCAACATGGTCAAAGCAGTCTCATATCTACTCTTAAAGTTGATTTACAGCTGTGGCAGCTACACTCATAACTTTTCAAGAAGTGTGTGTGAGGAAAAAGAAATAAAAAAAGCTATGAAGAGGATGCAGAAGTTAGCTCATGAGGATGAATGTAAAAGCCTTCACAGTTTGTTCATATAGAGCATCTTGGAGAAAAGAAGCTACAGGACCAAAATCAAGTTCTGGTAGCATCAAGTGATGGTAGGCAAGAGCACTGGGGTGGAGCACAAGCAGAGAGCTATTGCTGACAGGGAGGAAAATAAAGTTTTTCTATACTTATACATTGTCCAGGTGTGGAGCTGAGACGCTATTGCCAGAGACCATCACACCGATGAATACGAGCTGCAAACAAGAACCAAATCAGACAAAAATGCAGATCTTAATGGTCAAAGAGGCAAAATGCACAACTGTTATGTGGAAGGCAAGTGGTGAATTCCTCCCCTTACAGTAGGAACAATTAAAACACTAGATCCAAATCTTCCAGCTGATTGCTTTGTATGCCAGGTGCTGCATAGTCATTAAAACCCTTGCTTTGTTCCAAAGGACAGAAAATAGCAAGCCTTCCCTGGTGCAGCTCTCTAGTGACCAGGAATGCAGCCACAGGCAGAATAAATATACAGTGAACTGTAATACTGAGTATTCTGTGTGGTCACTGAAAAACTGGCACATACCTCTAAGCTTGGCTGTGCTTCCTAGGAGCATGGTACTGGCTGAAGCAATATTGATTTTTTTATTTATTTTTAAAACACAACATACTTATCATCTGTCTAAATATGGCAGCCACTCAAAGCTGTTTTTCTGTGGCTTTTAAACCTGAAGTTGATTCATGAAGGGACAGAAGGCCCTGTCCGTAGTGAACCATATGCAGATTAAAATACATGGTTCTAGTTTTCCACCATTTCTTCACAGCTGGCATTTATATGTTTGGTCTCTTCTCAGACCCTGCCTGTTAGCCCTTGATTTCTAGATGTGTCTGGCAGAACCCAGCAGTGCTAGTGGTGGGGGGAGCGTCCCTGGGAACCCCCAGCCCAACCTCTTGCTCACAGCAGGGCTCTGCCTCGCACTGGGTCAGGGCAGCCGCTGGCTCTGTCCCTGAGTCTTGCAAACCCCCACCCTCCTGGGGGAGGTGTTCTTCCTAATGTACAAAAAGGACAATCTGCATACTTTTGCTTATTCCTCCCAGATATATTGTCTGCCACTGCTGAGAAGGGGTTTGGTGCTGTTCTGTTTGTAACCACCCTGTCTATGCAGTTAGGAGCTGTTGAGTACAACGTGGCTGGTACATTGGCTGCATTCAATACTGCACTGCTGGACTCATTTCCAGTGCTCTACAGCAGCTTGTAGCCAAGCAATGGAAAGCCTCTGCCGCATGCATTGGCTGAAATGGCAGTGTGCAAACTTGCCCACATTTTGCTTCACAAGCACTTCTGATCACTTCATTGAGGGTATAAAGATAACAAAGCCACGTGGCTTCCCACCCCTCCCTAGGAACACTCCCAATTTGTTTTGCTGAAGGGGATGGGCCAAGTCCCACTGCCATCAAAGTTCAACTCTACTACTTTTCATCTGCTTGTTAAAATGGGAATGAAGTTGGAGGAAGACAAGCAGTTGGCAGGAATCACAAGTGCTGGCAGCTCACAACCCATGTGCCATATGCTGTAACACGCACCGTACTGAAGCATGTTAGCAGCTCTCACTCCCTTCCCAACAAGACCCACTGTTACTGCCAAAAACACTGCCCCTTCTGGGAATTTCAGCTGCCCAGCATCTCCAGGTTTGGAGCGTGACAGCAGCTGCATTAGGGAATCAGTCAGTGAAGGCTGCTTTCCTTCTCGAGGGGCAAGTCATCATGAGGCCCTTCAAGAGGTGGTTTCTAATTCAGGTACCTCCACAGGAGCCTTCAAGTGAGCAGTTCTGCCCTTCTCCCACCAGGAATTGCCCACAGGACCTTCCCATGCTCCCTGGCTTGCAGCCAGCATGACTCACCTAGGTCATTGTTATTCATCATGGCATTGGAGGCACGGAGCCGGGGACCTTGCTGAGTGAAATGGTACCCAAACTTCAGCAGCGAGGTGTTTTTTTCCAACATGTTTGCAATTTCCATTTCTACTTTGTTGCCCAAGGGCTGGCTCTTTTGAAAACAGAAAAGCAAGCTGGTCAGGTCAGAGGGTGACTCAGAGCGAGCACTTAGATCTGCCATCTCCACCCCTTCCCTCCTTCTTTGGACCTGTTGGTCCATTCGGCATTTCTGACTTGGAGCTGGTGAAACAAACCACTGGCCTTTTCCTGGTACAACTGAGTGGCTCCAATTCCTCCAGCAGACACTCCCACAAGTCCTCTTGCCCAAAGACTTTATTTCTTGGACAGATCTGCAGCTAAGAGATGTCTGGAGAAACTATGATTTTGAACTCCCAGTCACCTGTCCCTGAGCTCCCCATAGCTCAGCTGCTTCACTACTACCCCCCGGATTTCTGGGCAAGCTAAACTTGCCATGGCATCTGTACCACTGCACACTCTGGAGCTCTCCTTCTCTCTCCCTTGCATTGTAGCAAAAACTTCAGTTTTACAAAATAGACATTATTATTTAAGTCCCTGCAAGAGCTCAGAGCAAGGCGTGATATGGGACAGCATGACCACTCTCCAGGGCAGCGCCAGAACACGGAAAGCTGCGTGCACTGCCACAGCCTTTGTTAATTACTGTAGGTAGCAGCAGATACCACCCAGGAACTGCAGCAGAAACAAAGGGCTGAAACCTCTTCAAAGCAGCCTGGCAGTGGTGGTGGGCTGCCACCCTCCACCTTGACCAGCCACTCAATTTCCTGCAACCAGGACATGTTCACTTGATCAGAGATTCCACTTGTGCACGCTTTACCTGGTTGTCGATGCGCAGCTCTATGAGTGATGTGTTGCCCTGAAGTGCTTCGACAACAGCCAGGATCCCTGACCCAGAAATGAAGTTTGATTCCACATTCAGGCTCTTCAGCGTGTTATTGACCTTCAGCATTTCTGCCAGTGCCTGTGGGCAGAGGTGGGCAGGAAGAGCTGGCAGTCAGACAGGCAGGGACAAAGCACCCCGGAGCAGCAGGGGTTCAACATCCCTCACCTCTGGAGGACACTGGGAGGACGCTGCATGCTGTGCAGGGTTTCCCCCTGTTGCAGGGGGATCCTTGAACACGAGCATTCTGGAGGCCACAGCAAAACCTTGTATGGACAAACCGTTAGGGCCACCCAAAAGGTGACAGTCAACTCTTGTGGCTCACAACTTCATCTGTCCCTCTTCTAAAGCTGGCATGGTGATGGCAGGGATGCTGGCCAGTGTCGACCCTGCCTCCTGCCTGACCAGCTCCCTGCCTACACTGCTCCTTCTGTACGGGGCTGAGATGCCCATCACAGCAAGCAGAGAGAGGAGCATCTGTCTTGAACAACAAGGGATTCTCCATGTCCAAGACGTCTTCCCCAGTGGCATCACAACCATATTAATCACTTTCACTTCCCTCAGCGGGTAAGACCAGAAGTGGGCTGGCACACTCCCAACCCCTGCCACCTGACCTGATGATCTCATCTCATTTCATAAGCTGCATGGGAGGACCTGTCTACGTCATGAAACAGAAGGACCAAAAAGCGATGCCCAAGCAGCAGGGTTGCCCTGCACCCATTCTCACAGCACTTGTCTGCACTGCTCCCCAAGCCCTGCGCAGTACCCTGCGGGCCCTCAGCAGCACCAGTGCTGTCTGCACAGGCTTCTTCCCCAGTCCAGAGCGGCTGAAATAATGTGACAGCTGTACTCACCCTCCAAAAAGGAGTTTTTTTCTAAAAGGAAACTGGTGTGCACATGTGTGAGTGGAGGTAGGTAGGGGTGGCCTGAGTGAAGAAGAGCAAAAATTGTCTGCAATGGTGCTGGAGGCGTGTGCAAGGATGCAGCCTGGAAGGTAGCACGAGGGCCAGGCAGAACGCTCACCACCTCTCTGCATCTCCACTGATACTCAGCACTGCTTGCAGCAGCCAGAAAGACCCTTTATCACCCACAGAGGCCACACACAAGATATGCACAGGTCTGCACAAAGGAATAAATAAAAGAGAGACGGAGCAGATGTGTGCGAGGGGAGGGACGGGTGTGCACACAGCAGCATACAGCTTTGTACCAACAGGAAACAAATGGGGTGGTGCTGATGTAGGATAAATCAAGAGAGACAAACTGCTTTTACAAAATGCCACTAGGAAGTCAGTTCTTGTTTCCCACTCCTTTTCCAGGAGATCCCTGAGGATGAATATGAGACCAAATGGTATTAAAGGATTGTGTCCTGAAATCTCTGCAGCTGAAAAAGGAAGCGAAGGAACCAAAGCCTGTCTGTTGCTGGCTTTCACTAGCGCTCCTGAAACTGAAGGAGCTGCACCAAATACCAGAGGTGCAGAACGTGCCAAACGCACCATAAGGTGCAAAGGCAGTCAGTAACTCTGAAAATACCTTGCCGAAGAACAGCTCCTCTCACAACTTTATGATGGTGAGTGGACAGTACTTACAAAAGCAACAGGATCGTTGCTCCGTGTCCCAACTATACTGAACTTCTTCACGTAGGTGTTATTTTTCAGTGCTTCTGCAAAAGCTTTTAAAGTTGGTATGGGAATATTCTGTGAAAGGAAATGAAGAAAACCTGTGTTAGGCCATCATCCGTATGAAGGAATATGCAATACATTTAAGTAATACTTCAAATGTCTTATCAAGGTCAAATCACCGAATGCCCTGAATTAATTTAGGAAGGGGTCGATAAATGTTTTTACAAGTTCTCTTGCTACAATCAGCATGGCCTAAGGAGCATGGCAATGTCTCCATCCTATTTCCCATTTGGCCGATAATTCACTGCCTTGATTTGAAGCTACAATGTCTCTGCTGTGTAATTTAATTTCCCAGAAACACAGTTACTTATGAACACAGGCCTTGCGGGGATGTATGTAACTAGGATCTGTGAGCCTACAAAGCACTGCTCCTGCACTTTTTAATATGAATGACAGCACTAAGCAGCATTCATGTCGTATTCAGGAAAATTTCCACCTACAGGGCCTGATCCAGAAAGACCTGAAACGATATCCTTGTAGTACAAACCACAGACACATCTGACTGCTTTATACAACATCTTTCAGGCTAATATTTGCCATGCTAGGTCTCAGCCCAGAAAATAAATCTGTGCTGCTTATTCTGAGTTCCTACAAAATGAGTATTTTTCACTTATCAAGCACTTTAGATACTCTTTTCAGGTGCATGAATTTTCACCTGTCTAAAATTTTAAGTGGTATCCTCAACTTGGACTTCTTGCCACACCATTTGGATCCTACCATCTGGAATCATCTATAGTCAAGGCCATCTGCAAAGCCATAACACAGAGCCCAGAAGCTTACCACCTCCACCACCACACCCCAGTTCTCCAAACAGTGTCCCAAACTCCCGAGTCCAACACACGAAAAAAGTGCTGGCCTGCCAGATCCTCAGCCTGGTGTCCTCAAAGGACATTCAGAGTCACTAGCCAGAATCAAATACATGAAAGTAAAAATATTTTCATCATAGAAAGGTGCAGGTGGCACAGCACAAGTGTTTTTAATGTGCATGTGCAGTTATCCATGTTCTTGCTATTTTAGTATGTCATCACTCAACAGACCCCATGGGATGGGGGTGCTGGAGTTTGGGAGAACAGATGGAAACTGTATTTTTTAGTATGTGTGTGTCCCAGACGTAACATAAGAAGTGGTGCTGTGTCCTGATTTGCTTTCTACAAGAAATAAGGGAGTCCCACAGAAAGGATGGGTGGGAGATGGATAAGGGCTACCTGCAAGAAGGGAGGTTTCTTCATATTTTCACGGCAAGTGTGAGGATTATGAAGCCTTCTTCCTCCGACCATTTTATCTTACATAAACAGCTGCTCTATCAAATGTGCCTGACTAAATCATTAAAGCGACCTAGAACACCTTTAACCAGGTCTCCCTCAATGCAGCTGCACTCTTCTAGGCATCTACAGGAGTCCTCCTGCTACCAAACACACACCGTTGTCCCACAGCGGGTAACAAGCCCTATTGCCCAAAACAGAGATGGGAAGCACTGCTCTTTCTTATCTGGCTGCATGCAGTGTTATGGTATTACTCTGTGCAGCAAAAGACTTGGTCTCTGCCTTCTGTGTATCAAATGTTTGGTTCTGTTATTAAGAGAGCAGAGGAGAGTAGAAAGGAGCAAATACCATAATATTGTTAAGGTTGACTTCCTCGAGGTCAGGATCATTGCTTTGTATTCGTTTCAGAGTTTCCTCCACATCCGTTGAGTTCGGTTCCTCATCAGGAACAGGTTTGTACTGTGTGGGCTTAATCACACCTGCAAGTGAAAAGCAAGACATGTGAAACCAAAAGCACCCTGAGCAGCAGCATGTTCTCTTTGGGTGTGTTTCTCCTCTTCTAGAAGCCGTGTTGGGAGAAGGAAGTGTGACCTGACAAACAGACGCAAGATAAGAGATTGAAGAAGCACTTGTGAGCTCCACCTACGCTCACGTGCATCCGGAAACACTGCCCAGCACTGGGGCCAGCCAGCACAGGACAGCCAGTGCCTGCTGCTACAACCTCTCAGGGTCCAAAACTGGGTGATGGAGGGCAGACCGCCTGCGTGGGGCTGCTCCCTGGGCTGTGCTAGCTCTCGGATGGTGCCAGGGCAGTGTCTTGAGACCGCGCTCACTCACATAGGGCAAGGATGCCCTGGAGATGGCCCCAGCAACCACAGGCTTCTCTGACATTCACGACTTCAAGTTTCAGCCTGAAAATAATTCCCACTTTGCCTCTGCTAGCAGCTTCAAAGCCAAACACTGCAACCCGCTAACACTCTAAATCACTTACTGTTGAGCCCTTCTTTGTTCACAATAGTGCTGCTTCCCAGTGCCTCATAGTACTGCTGGTTACTCATCAAGGTGTGCATGCCAAGGATGGCTACAGAAAAAGAAAAGGAGAACACAATGTGAATTATTGCAGGGTCCAAAGCGAGGAAAAGAAGCATACCTGCCATGCTGCCTGGAATGGGCGTTGGTAGTACATTACCTTTCCCTGTGCAAGCACAGAACAACATAAAAACTTGGGACCAAGCCCCCCAGCTGTCATAAATACACAACAGGGCTCAAATGTGCTCACTTGTTTATTCCAATGTAGCATCATTCATAGGAGAAGAGGAACATCATTTTGTGGACAACAAACAGACAAACAGCCAAGGTTTCCCAGTAGCCGACTTGATTCAGCATTGCGCAAAAATAGCGAGGGGAAGACAATAAAAGACAAAAAAAATGCCATTGGTAGGATTTAATCTAAGGGCTCCAGTCCAGCAGGAGCCTGCACATCCTCACCACCCTTGGTCACCTGGGCATGTGCCACACACTGCGACAGTCCAGTTTTTGAGATGAGCTGTGCCCCACGCGGAACCAAATCAACCCCAGCAACACACGAGATGACTGTCCTGCAAAGCGTGGCAATGCACATCATGTTTTTACTCAACAACAAGTGGGGGTGGGGGTGCTTTGAATTGATCTTTGTACACTTGGAAGTTGACATTGTGAGAAGCTAAAGCTCTGCTGCCTCAGTTGAAATGCAGAAAGTGAAGGTATGAACAAAATTCAAAGACTGTAAGAGCCCAAAAGCCACACTTGTGCCAATTTGTGTATCTCAGGCTCATAACTGCAAAACCAATATGCAAATGCATATTGAAATGTGCCCAGGGAGGATCTGATGATATTGTTGCCTGCTGCAAATGAGCAGGGGGAAGCCAGTGGCTTAGAAACATTTGGGCAAAGACTCTTGTTTATAAAAATAATGCTGCTACTCACAGAAAGTTCATGTTTGAAAATAAACTGTTTTTTTAATAAACTTTTTTTTTTTAAATAACTATATGACTTTCTAAAGAAAAATGCAGACATGTGAGTAATTGTTACAAACAGACACATCTGAACAAATCTTGACCTTCACATGGGCACAGTGGTTAAAATAAATAAAGGACAAATCTCTCCCCAAAATTCAAGTATGCCACTGCAAAGGCACTTTGCTTTCCAGTGAGCTGCTCCTCTTATGCTTGGTTGGCACCAGTCCATCACCATTTCCTCGATGCTTTGGCCAAGAAGGGCTGGGAGTTGCAGGAGAAGGCTATCCCTGAGGCCCATCACATGAATGGCATCTGTTATGGTGACAGCTCACGGTGACTCCAGGTCTGGGTTGCATGGGCAGGACAGCCTGCAGCAAAGGGTGTCAACAAACACCACTGTCCACTTCCCCACACTCCCTCAGCATATCCCTGGTTGGATTGCAGAGAGCCAAGCAGTCTCTGTCTTAGAAGTCTGAGTGAGGCTGGGCATTTTGAGTTTGCTTGTTTGTATCTAACCATCCCTTTTCTCTGCTGTGTGTCTCACAGCTGAAATTTTCAGGAGTGCAACACAGCTTGGAAAAGTAATTTGCAGGCCCAGCATTTTGTGGACACACGTACACCCCAAACACAGCTTATTCTGACAATGAAACCTCTCCACCAGCCAGGACTGTGAATATCTGGACTGCAGACAGAGGGAAAGATCTGCTGTTACGACCACACAGGGTTTTCTGGGGCTAGAGTTTGTGCTGGTAGACAAGAGGGACCCACTATTTCTAAGTCTGGTACTTGCTGTGTATTGTCCAAAGGAACTCAAACAGAACAAAGGCATCCCATTTCTGCCTCTCCCAGCTGACCAGAGGCACTGGAGCCCTTCCAGGACTTATTGGGAGCCACCCATGAGAGCTATCCTACTGGCCTTGCCAAAGAAGGGATCCAGCACACCATGGCTGACAGCGAGCCCTGCTAAACAGGCAGGAGCAAAACGAGCTCCTGCTAAATGAGCCCCGCTACACAGACAGGAGCAACGCTGCCACTGTCAATATTGAGATTTCAGCACAGCTTGTATCACATCAGTTCTCCTGCTGCCACTTCAAGTGTATTCTCCCAACAATTGCAGAACAAGCTGCCCCAAACAGCATTTCTCTGTGAAAGTAATTGCTGCACGGATCTGGAGCTTGGAAAGGCAGATTTTATAGGATAGGGCTTTACAGGAATCTGAGAGTACAGTAAAAAAGCAAAACTCAGAGACACAGTGCTTGGCCAGGGTACATATGTTGGAAGCTTTAATGCAGAAACACATTTCTAAGCCTGAATATGATATTATTATGTAGAAGATGTCTAGTCGGTGTGGTTATTCTACAGGCTATCTTACAGACTTCTGGCAAGGAGGATACTGCTAGGGAGTATGGAATTCTGAAGAAGACAGAACTGGAAGAAGCAGCCAGTAGCACTGAAATCCTCACCGACTGCTAGACCAGCAGGGGACATGTGAGCTTGGTAGAGCAGCAAGGGGGTGTTCATATGCTTCCTTGGCCAAGGCATATCCTATCCCAGTCACAGAGCTAAGTCCATGCTACTGGCTTCAGCAAGATACCAATATTGTCATTTCTAAAGTGGCAGAGCAAGGAGGCTTGCAGGGGGTCACCACCACTCAGACAACACTGCCCGAAAAGCAGCAATGGGACACTGCTTGAACTTATCGAGCATGGAGGCATAAAACCCTCAGAGAGGGACCGTGCCTGTCTTTAATTTGCACGGGGCTTGTTTAGCCTGGTGAAGAGCATGCTGTTGGGGCTCGAACAGCACCTGCAATTGCTCTGTCCCCCTCTCCAGCTCGCTATGCATTCCAACCTGCTTCTCAGTCGTCGTGAATTACACCAACCTTTTAAAGCTGGATTCCCCCACCACTGAGCTAACACTCACAAAACTGACTGCACAAATCACAAGAAATCTGTAGCTTTAAAATGTGTTAGAAAACCTCTTTAACAAACAGCAGCCCTGAGCGTCTGTTGAAAGACTGCTCTAATCTGACAGCCTCTTTAATAGGTTGCACAAGAAATCCACATTCTCACTGGGTCTGCTTGATTGTTTCCCAGAGGTTTGGCTTGAAGAAAGCTGTGCTCCTGAAGGTGACAAGCTGAAATTGGCAAGATTCAGTGGCAGAGACAGGAGAAGAGATCAAAGAGCACACTGTTCCCTTGATAAATCCTTCTTCTCCCTCCTGAGCTTTGGTCCATGCTCCTGATTAAATCACATGGGCTGAGAGGAACTTTAAATATACACTTCTTTTTTAACAAAGAAACAAATCCTGTCAAAACTGACAGCATTCAGATAAACTGCAAAAAGCTTAATAGCTCATTTCTCACAAAAGAAAAAACAAAAAGAAACTAGTAGTCGAACAACCTGAACCCCAATTCATGTGAAACTACTTTACCAGCAATGTCACAGAGCTCTGCATCAGAGGCATTAGCAAGGGCTTCCTCCAGTTCCGGCTCCAGAGTCACACTTTCCAAAACAGGATCCATCGGCTTCTGCTTGGGGATCCAAGCTTTTCCTATAAATGCAAAGTGAGGTCACTCTCAGTATAGCTATAGCACCTGTTTCACAACTAGCTGTACAGATGCATTTCCGTGGGGTGAGATTTGCACAGTGGAAAGGACAGAGGGGGCACAAGGACCTAGAGAAAAATCAGAGGAGACACTGAATCCCTTCCCATAAGCTTGGTCCGAGTCCTGCTGCGATACGAGCCAGGAGGCACCTGCCAGACACCTCCAACTGTGGAGCTGGACTCTTCCAGAAGCACAGAGGGCTGCATCTACAAAAGCCGAACATTATTACATTTGCACAGGACGATGACTGTTCAACACACAGCACTCAGAAAGCCACACACAGCCTGACCCTGCAGGACTTCACTTCTTTGAAGACTGCATAAAAGGGATGGAGATTTACCAGTGCTCACCTCGGCCAAGAAAGGCCAGTGGCCCAGATCCAGCACTGTGCAGGATCAGTCCAGCCCCTGAGACAGCTCCTGGTGCTAACTCCAAATGCATGGTGGCAAGGCAGGTGGCACAGTAGTCAAAAGAGGGGGGAAAGGAGGCAGTGCAGGGGCCGTGGCAGCAGGCAGAGATAGCAGTCGGTCGTCCAGCGAGCACACAGGATGCAAGAAGGAGCAAGGCTTGGGGCTGCTGGTCTGGCTCAGCGCTGCTGCAGAGGACAGTAGGGCAGGGGGGAGAGACACAGAGGGCATGCCAGATGGAGATCCCCCTGCTCTATCTCCTGGGACAGCAACAGGCCAAGGAACAGGTCTTTTCCCTACAAGTCAGAGGAGCAAAGCAACAGGTACAGCCAGCAACGCAAAGCTGCCATCTCAGCTGCTTGCTTGTGGCCTTTTCCTAAGGGGGGCTGCCCACACGGACAAGGGGCTGTGCAGCCCGTGACGCAGCTCCAGCCCAGCTCCGAACGTGGTGGGGTCCCTGGTGCTCCCCCACCCCGTTGCCCAGGACGATCACCGGGCAAGCCACGACCCTCTCTCTGCTGGAGCCGGTTGCATCCCAGGGAGGCATGGGGCAGCAGACAGCGTTCATGGCCCTGCACGGCTGCTCCCAGCTCCTCACTGCTCCCATTGCCAACAGGTGGGCAGAGCTCTTTGTGGAGGCTGAACAGGTCAGGTCTGAGATTTCACAACAGGGCACCTACCTGTGACCGCCCCTGCCACCAAAGAAAAGAGAGAGTCTGAGGTGTTGTAACACACCATGGCAGGCAGCAGTCTGCTGGGTAAACCCACTGCTGCTGCAGGACAGGAGGAGGAGGAGGAGGAGAGATCCCAGAGCATTTCGGAGCAGCCCCCTCCCCTGAAATAGTCCAGGATCCCTGCAGAGAGATAGCGAGTGCAAAGCTCTTGGCCTGGCATGCCAGCCAGGACTATTTTTGTCCCCCCTCTGAAACAAGAGTCAGTGGCACCAAAGGGGAGAAACAAAGATCCTGCTGCTCAGGGATGTGCAGAAACAGAAGGGGCTAAATTTAGCCTCAAGGAAGAAGCAGCTGCGCTTCGGGCTCCCCCAGTACAAAATGGAGGCTGCTATAAACAGCCTTTTGCAAAACGGCCCATCTCCTGCCGGCACGCTGCCACCCTGACGAAGAGGGCAGGAATCTGCCTCCTGGGACACAGCTGCTCCTGCAAAAATAGGCAGAGCATCACGTGTCCTGCAAGGCCAGGCACCTCCTGGGTACTCTGCAGCACAATGTCTGGGGAGGGCTGGCCCCCTCAGCTCTGACTTGGTGCAGAGACCCAGAACCATTGTCTCGCCGGACACACGGCTCGGCAAACTGTACGCACTATCTGGTCAGTTCAGCAGGGAACAGGAAAAACAGGGCAAACTTAATTCTGCGGTCACACAGTAACTCCCTTTGACATCTCAGCGTCATTGAAACTTCTGGGATTTAATTTAGAAAGTTCTGTATCTCAGTCATGCTTTATTACAAGTTTGAACTTTAAATTAAATGGTGCATGCAAACACAGCTTTACATATCGTAATACAGCATGTATGCACGTACCAACTCCTACCCTGTCCAGCAGCATGGCCAGGGAGAGCACCTCCCATGCCAAACTAGTAAATCACCCTCCAAACTGCAAACGTGGTGATTTATTTCCAGCTCTGCCACAACTGTGAATATGTAATTTACCATCTCTGGCTCACAGTCAATGTAAAATAGTGTCTTCACTCAGCAGCATGTTACAAGTGAAAATATGCTTAATGTGTTTGAGATCACATCAGATTGAAATATGATTAGCTCAGACCAAAAGCTGAAGACTCAGAATGCCTGAAATACCTCTGTCTCCTGCAGAGCACTGCTTCGACCTGCTGGGCTAGCCAGGTGAGTAGCCAACACTGGGCTGGTGTACGTCTGAAGTTGTTAAATCACTCTTCCTGACAGCACTCAATTTCCTCTCTTCATTTACTTCCTTGAAGGAGAACTCAATTTTTGCTAAAAATACCACCTCCAGTTTTATTAAATGGACAGATTTAACACAAGCTTTTTCTCGGAGAGGCACATGGATCAGTAAGGAGGCAGCTTTGAGAAAGACCTCAACTGGAAACATGCTCACATGCCCATGTTTCATGCACTTCCTTTTTGATGTGGGGCAACCAGTAGTGCAAACAGTGTACAACCAGATCTTCTGCTGCTGGGGGACCATGGTACAGAAAGAGACACAACAGCAGAAAAAAGCTGCTGAGAAGCTCCTGGAACCCAGAGGCAAGGACTGACAAGACCATGTCCCATGTCAGATGATATTCAGAGTGATAATGGGAGCAGAAAAGTCCTTTTGATAATGGGGCATGTCCCAGGAGAACAGGAAAAGATGCCAGAAGGAGAGGAAAGAGAAGAGGTAGAGCAAACCCCTTGCTCACAGGCCCCAGAGCCACGCAGAGCAGGGGTGCAGCAGCTGCCACAGGGTATGGTGCAAGAAGACAGACACACGCAAGCTGCAGGAGACAGGGAAATGAGGCTGGGGTTGTCAAGAGGTGATGAAGACTAGACAAGAACTGTTGGGATCATTATAGCTGAGGGGAGCTGTGGAGTTTCTCTATACCAAGATGAAGTTCAGAGTTGTCGTGGTTTAACCCCAGCCAGCAGCTAAGCACCACACAGCCGCTCACTCACTCCCCCGCAGTGGGATGGGGGAGACAATCGGAAGGGTGAAAGCAAGAAAATCATGGGTTGACATAAAGACAATTTAATAGGTAAAGCAAAAGTCATGCACGCAAGCAAAGCTAAACAAGGAATTCATTCAGCACCTCCCATGGGCAGGCAGGTGTTCAGCCATCTCCAGGAAAGCAGGGCTCCACCATGTGTAATGGTGACTTGGGAAGACAAAGGGCATCACTCTGAATGTCCCCCCTTCCTTCTTCTTCCCCCAGCCTTTATTGCTGAGCATGACGTCATATGGTGTGGAATATCCCTGTGGCCAGTTTGGGTCAGCTGCCCCAGCTGTGTCCCCTCCCAACTTCTTGTGCCCCCCCAGCCTACTCGCTGGTGGGGTGGGGTGAGAAGCAGAAAAGGCCTTGACTCTGTGTAAGCACTGCTCAGCAGTAATGAAAACTATTATCAACACTGTTTTCACCACAAATCCAAAACATAGCCCCATACCAGATACTATGAAGAAAATTAACTATCCCAGCCAAAACCAGCATAAGAGTGTAGGGAGGGAGCATGAAAGGCAATGGTGGAAGACAGAGCACAGTCTACAGAGCTCACAGGAGGACAGGACAGAGGAGGAACAAGAGAGGACAGAAGATGATGTCTTCCCCAGAGCTTGATACAGCTGCAGCGGGATGCGGATGGAAAGAGACTGCACAGTGGTACAGTCTCTGTCCGTCACTTAACAATATATCAGGTGGTACCCAAATCAGCAAGCACATGGACCTCTTGGGCACACCGCAGTTTATTAGCCCCCTGGGCTGTGGCTAGACAGCAGAGATAGCAGATCCACCACTCCAGTGGTGTCAAAATGAAGTCATGCTTAGCAAAGCAGGTCAGACACAACCCTGCTGCTGTGTACCCACTGTGCCTGCATCATGACACGTTCAGTGTGGTGCAGAGGATGACCATACCTCTCTTTTCACCCGTGAAAGGGACCAAGTCTTCTCTGTCTTTAACATCCTTCGCCTGCTTTTCTAGGTGGGCCATGAGCTCCTCCCTTTTGAATGGGCCAGTTGGCAGCTTTTGTGTCTGATCCCGCTGCCTGAGTCCTGCTGGCAGCAATGCATTCTAGGCACAGAGAGGAGAAACGTGGGTTATCTCTGGAGGCCACCATCCCCGTCCACCAAATGTTTCCCCCTCTCCACTTTCCTCATTGCACTGTCTTTCTTCCACATTGCTGGACAATTTGCTTCTCCTTGTGTCAAAGGTTATCTCCATCCAACCCCACTGATTCGCACATCATCTAAGACACATGATGCTCCTTCCCCCTTCTAATTTCAAATGCTGGCTCCGCTACAAGATCTCCATGCTCCCAAGTGGATGTTTCTCTACAACAGCAGCTCCAGCCCTTTCTCTGGGGGCTCTCAGCCATCACCTCCTGCTCCTCCTAGCCTCTTCCCACACCCTCACCATTTCTGCTGCCTCTTCACAACAGTCAAAGCACCAGAATCCAGCTGCTACACTCAACCGATCTTCTCCTCCTTCTATGTGTCTGAGTGCCCACACGCCCCACATGTCCCAACAAGAATCAGTTCAGGGAAATCCCATGGTCTTTCACAGAGCAGACCAGAGCACCATAGTGGTCTCTTCTGCCTTTCATGATCCATCACAAAACTACAGGCAGGGTCTCACAGAGAAGATCACTCCCTTGCAGAACAAAACCACTGTGAACCTTTTTCAATTTGCCTCCTTGTTATTCCATCAGATTAGCCACCATGGGAAGTTGCTTTGTGCCTGACACATATGGCACGTAAGCACCTGCTTATATTTAAATATAGAACAGCCTTAATGCAATAAGTAAGACTATTCCCAGATTTGACACTAAGCATGTTCTTTAAAGCTTTGCTGGATAGAAGTCAACATTTACTTTTTAAGACACCCAAGGTGATTTTGAACAAAACACTGATTCTTCCATGCCCTCCTAATAGAAGTAATACATTATAATTTAAATCTGTATCAGTGGAAAGCCTGGGAAGGAAAATGACTAACAGGAAGCAATTAGACTCGGGCAACCTTGGAGGGCAACAGAGGAGAACTGTGCTAATGCACAAGCAGGGAGGCATGGGAAACTGCTTGCTTCGTTGGGCTTCATGCTGTGAAAGGTGACCATGCAATCTTCATGCTTTAACTCCTGTACTCAGGCTACACCTCTACTGACAGACGTTCGCGATTATTTTACCCTTCTGCATCTTTCACAGATGCAGAGTCTGTGTCTTCTGAGACACCTGTAAGAAGCCCACACACTTAATCCTGGGAGCCAGCCTGCCACCTCTTAATTATATTCCTGTGTTGCAATTAAAAATACTGATGATGCAATCTACACTGCCCATCATTTCCCCCAGAAACACTAACTGCATGCTGCAGGAACAATTTCTCACTTGGCAGTGCCCAGCCTCATCATCTAACATCCCTGTAACCCAGAGGCCTGGCAGTTGGCTCTGCACATCCCCTGCTAGGGCCACAGGACAACGTTGCCTCCAAAAAGCTTTCATTGTTTGCCACCAGCAGGCCCAGTGTTTTCATACGTGCAGCTCTTACTGATGTTGGGAGGTTGCTAAAAAGCAATTGTCCCATTTTGCAAAACTCTGGGATTTGTTTTTCTGCCTATATGGAGGAAAATACAGACCATTTGAAGTTTGCTATGGAAAAAAATCCAAACAACCCACAAATCCCAAAACGTTCCCTCCAAGATGGCCTGATCAGAAGCAGAGATCCAGTTTCCTCAGGTTTACTGCCCTGCACTAGCACTGGCTCACATTTGTGCTGCAAATCGCAGTGCTCATCACACCGGAGCATGCACGCCAGGGCAAGGGCAGGGGAGTATCACAGAAACAAAGTCCCACATGTAGCCCATGCTTGCGATGGCAAAACTGCTTCTGCTCATCTGCGGACAGCCTCTTCCATCCTTGCACACTGAGTACAGGCTCTGCAAAGGATCTCACTTAAGTACAGATTAGTAATGCAGCCCATTCCCCCCAACAACTGAGACCTACCACCTAGCAAATCTTGTGTAAAAATGACTTACGTCAGGATCCAGCTCTTCCAGTTCATTCTCTAACTTCCTGAGCTCCTCCTCTGTCAGAGCTCCAAGAATCTTGTCTTCATCCAGGTCTCGGTATTTTTCTAGCTCCTTTCTGTAAGACATCTTAGAGGTGTCTCAACAATCTCACTTTTATGCCGAAACAGGACCTGAAATTAAAACAAGAAGCATAACACTGAATATGTGAAACGCGACACTGTACCCCAGTTAGTTAGGGAATGCTGAATACCACAGAGTTGCAGAATATTTATGCTTAAAGGATGGCTGACTTCAAAGCCAGGTCAGATTGCTCAGGCCCCCTCCATCCATATCCTACATGCGAGTAATGGCCCATGGTCATGAGAGCGGCACAACTTCAGCAGCACATTGCCCCATCAGAGACTTACAGGGCAGCACTGATGAAGTACTTTGTACGGGATCCTGGCTAGAGATGTCTTCTCCAAGCAATGCCAGATGTTAACAAAGTGTCCTAGGCATTTATTTCCTTGAAGGACAATAAACCACGAACCATAAAGTCTGCAGCTCTCATGCCCTTACAAGCCCCCAGTAACACCTCCCTGCACATGGCACTCCAGATAATGTTGCCACCAGGTGGGAAACCAGATTTGTAGCATCACCGAGTACCTCTGAGCCCTGCAAACCTCCACGAGGCTACAGTGCACAGTGCTTCTTCCCATGTTTTAAAGCCACAAGGAGATCAGGAAGTATTATCCACTCACGTTCAGAAGGCTGCCAGTTAAACGTGCTGTTCAGTGACCCACCTTCCCTGAGACAACACGTGTTTGCACTGCTGCAAGCTAAGCAGCTGATCTGAGTGTTACTGCACGTCTAAACCAACTCTTCAAGAAGAGAAGTGGGAGTAACGTACTAAATGACCTATCCGGATAATCCCTGCTGACCCAGGGGTTTGTCCCATGTCTCCTAATATAAAATGCCATACACAATCACACACACAACTGGACTTCTGCCAGCTCTAAAAGACTGTAGTAGACCTACTACGAAGGTCAACTTGTGTAAAATATGCAGTTGGGTTAAAAATACACTCACTACAACACAGAAGAGTGTATCCAACTCTGCTTTTTTTGCTGAAAGTTTCCTTCTGTTCCATAGCACTGTCTGTACATTTACATTTTTTTGGTTCAATTTTTGCAGAGAGTATTGAACTGCAGATAATTTAAAGTGACTTTTGCTAGAGTTTAAAAAAAGGTTTGCTATTCTTTCAAGTGGCATTTACATTAAAATAACAGCAAGGCCTGTGCATTTTTCAAGGAGCTAAACATCTTTTGAACTTCTATAAATGGCCTCTTTTCAGCTCCTGTGGTGCGCCAGAGCCCTACCCCAAGTCACATCTCTCCAGCTTTGCTCATCCTCTCAGGACAGATCATGCTCTTATGATCGCTCTTCATTAGCGGAGAAGTCTCTTTATACAACTTACAACACAGCTGCTGTTCCAGATAGGAAAATTATCTTTAGCTTGGTCACAAAAGGGCACATTAACGCACACATGGCTCAACAGCAAGCCCTTAAATTTAGAGCTGTCACCTGGTCAGACGTTTGGTTTCCCACTGGTGTGATGGCTATTCCTGCATCATTCGCATTCCTGCCACTCGCCACTTAGGAGGTGGAGTGCCAGGAGACTGTGCCTCCTTGATGGGAGGAACGGCCCCCCAGGCTCCCACAGCCAGGAGCTGAGAGAGTGAAAAACAGCTTTTCATCGGGCTGGTTTGCTCCGCGCAGCGACCGTCAACCTGTGGGCACCAGGGTCGAGGGCAGCAGGAGGAAGCACGGGCTATGGGGCTTGGTGGGTTTGGCTACGCGAGGCAGCGGGGATCCCAGCACTCCTGCGCTTTGCCAGTCCCCTGCAGCAGTCAGTGCAAGGCACCTCAAGCTGCGAGGCTGATGTGCGGCAGCCATTCAGCTGTGCACCAGTCAGGCTAGAAGCCACGTCCAGCAGCTCAGCCCCAGCAAGGCTGCCCTTCTGGTCGGCGTAGAGGAAAGCAGAGCCTTTATCAAAATTACCTATGAACAAACGCTTGTCATCATATCAATTATTATTACTCTGATGCGGGACATCCTAGAAAAGCAGCCTGGACCCAGACCTGGAGATGTGCTGTGCTACTGCGACCTTAGATTGAAGTGCATGAACCATGACTCATCTGTATTTCATACTCAATTTTTAGTTTTGACTGTTCTGCTGTGGGAGGAGCTGGAGCCAAGAGCAGGCAGGAAGGCAGAGGATAACCCACCCCAGGCTGCTAAATTCCCTGTAATGGCTTAAAATACCCACACCTGCCATGCACATGGCAATCTCCGTCTTGGCAACATGGGGACGACTACTTCCAGAGGCAGTCACTGCCCCCACCTAGCAAGCGGTAGCCTGCAAGCGGCGGCTCGGCTGGGACCAGAGCACAGCCTGCGCAGGGCTGACCTTGTCGCCTCCCGCCAGAAGGACGGAGACCGTCAGCACCGAGAGGCGAAAGGCAGGACAGACGTCGGATGTCAGCACGCAGAGGCAACGCTTCTGGAAAATGCTTCAGGTTTCAAAGCATCTTGCAGAGATATGAAGCCGGGGCTGCATATAGCCAAGGCCCTGAGGGTTGAGGACAGGTGCAGGGAGCCTGCTGAAACACAGCTGAAATCCCCGCGGGGAGAATTTAATTTGCTACGTACCCCAAACAGAGCTGCTGGGAGGGGACAGTGCCCTCGCAGCCTCGCCGATGCAGGCGGACGGCGCTGGCGACTTGCACAGCTCCCGCAGAGAGTGTGTCGGGACAGCTAGCCGTGCCCGCGGCGGCAGGACATTTTGTACCCCTCCCCTGCCCGCCCAACGAGCTGCGTGAGTTCAGCATCACATCCTCCAGCACAGCCCCCAGGACCAGTACGTTCACTGGCTCTCCCTTATCTCCACATCCCAGGCCTCTTCTACCCTATCTTGCTAATGAGTGCTGGGAGAGAAAGCAAATAACCTGTCTGCTGTAAATGGCAAGAGGGCTTTGTACTGCCAAAAATAAGAAAGCAGGTAAATTCTGCCTAAGTATAATTGTTTTCAGTTACACAACGTGCTGAAACACCCACCACCACAAACAGCTCTCCCTGACCTGTGCTAGGGTTCAAGCATGGTTTAACACATGTCCCCCCCACACCTGCACTCCAAAAAGATTACAAGATCCTCCAGCACAACTACAATATTATATCCAAATTCTAAACTGACACATTTCTGGACATTCAGGAAAGTGTTAACCCTAATTCACCACAAATCTGCTCCATCAAATCTATTCTTAATGCCTTCCTAAGATGGTAGCTTTCACTTCTTGCTATTTTTCATTAAACCTACCAATACACTTTTCATTCAATCAAAGGAGGAAGCATCACAACAAAATATATATGTAATATATAGAGACGCTACAGGACTGACACTACTACAACTTTAAGTCCTCAGAAAATTGAAATTCACATGGACTTATCAAGACAGCAAGATACTAGGTCTCATTGTCCAAAGTATTCATCAGACACATGAGAAGACAGCCCAAACATTTGCGCTTGGTAAGTCTGAAGAGCACACAAGTTGGTATGCATGAAGACCAATAAAAAGGTTCAAGGAGAAAAATTAAATCAGAGGGGAGATGAACATACACCATAGGTCATCTACAAGGAAGACTGTTTCTGTCATGAATATAAGAAAACAAAACAAAACAAAAGGCAACATCTGTGATTATGAGAGGGATGGAACAGTTTCTTTCTGAAGGGTCCAAAACTGCTGAACAGACAAATGGATGTTGTAGAACAAGTGAAAATGAAAAGCATCCCATGCAACACTGGAAATACTCCTTTCATTGCTCTGCACCGGCACGGCCCCCCGGAGCACTGTGCCCTTTCTGGGGCATGGAAACCCAAGAGCAGCACCGACCTCCGCGCAGGGAACCAGCGGAGACCTGGGAAGGTGGCCCACACGGGACCACTGTCTCCCGTCCACAGTGGAGAGCAGGCACGGGGACGTGGTCATGCTCCTCAGGTGGGCAAGCAGGGAGGGCAGGAGCCTGGCAGCAATGGGCTCGGGCTGTGACAGGCTGCAGAGCAGCACAGGTACCACCGAGTTGGAGGATCTGCAGGATCATCCCTCAGTGCTCTGACAACCCCAGGAAAAAGAACAAAAGAGAAAGCGGAACTGGGTAAAGTGACAGAAACAGCAGCAAGCAAGAAAAATTCCAAGAAAACACAAAAATGTGATAGAGAAAAAGACTGATTTCCCCTGTGTGCTGTGTAACACGGTGTGACAGTGGTCTTGCGCACGCTTGTGCTAGGAAGCCTGGCCTCTAACTGCACAACCTCTCACATGCACTAGCATGCTAACAGCAGGAAATTACGGAAAGCCCTTTTCTTTTCATACGTACATGGGGAGAAAGAGCAACTAACCTCAGCACAGATACATGGCTTTTTCAGTGATAAATTCTGTTATCAGTCCAAGCCAAGGCCAATTTTGGCATTTCGTGGCAGGCTGCAGCATGCAGCTGTCACTTCCACGGCCACCGGGACTGCAGCATGCAGGAGGGTTTGGTGCATCCCAAGTCACCAGCCACACTGAAGTGCCAGCAAAAGGCAGAGGACGGGAACTCAGTGTACTCTGCACCTGATGAGAGCCATGGCTGAAAAAATTAACATCCCCTGCCTGAGACAACCCTCAAATCTTCTGGGAAACTTTTCCAGTGCTTTGAAATAAAAAAGCACACCGAGGGCTTGGCTTCTGAGATAAGGAGGCAACCAACAAGCATCACCAGCATAGATATCAACAATTCTTGGAAAAACTGCCAAGTTTGAAGGCAGAAGGCTATTCAGGATGAAAGCTGTTTTTAAGCAGCACCGGAGGCAGGAGTTAACCTCGTGAGGGATAGCCTGGCTCGAGAACAGTTCCTATTTGACTCATGCAGGGTTTTGATTTATGAGATTTTTTCATAGCTTAAGTATAAACCTTAGTCAAAGTTCAGAGCTATTATTTTTGCAGTATAAAAATAACAAACCAATGTCAACCAACCCCTCTGTAGTTGCTACAATTTCTTTTTTCTTTTCTTTGACTTTTAGTGTAACTTTAAAGATAAACATCAGGGCTTTTTTGAGAAACTATACATACCTCAAGTGACCATTTCCTATAAACTCAAGAGCAGTTAAGTACTTTCTGTGCATACACTTAGACCTCAGTGAATCACCCAGGTGTAAATCCAAGATGCATGCTGTGCAGATGAAAGGAGCAAATCAGCTCCAGCTGGTTTCCTAAATGAAGACTGTATTTTTATGTGGCCTTTCAGTCCTCTGATAAACCTAAAGCCATTAGCTAACTCTAATGAAATCTCATACAGGACTCAAACCCTAATTTCTTGTCAAGCTGCCCATGTGTGCAAAGGGTCCGTCAGCACAGGCGTAATGTGCAGCAAGCCTAGGCACCTCCTTCAGCTGACAGTCAGGGAATGAAGCTGGGGCATTTGCAGGGACAACTAGGAGAAGGGGGGGTACGAGAAGCACTTGGAGAAGGGGGAGCTGTTACAAGTGGTAGAGCTGGGGCAGACACAGCAGGGATGTGGGAATGGAGGACATCAATCCACCAAAAAGTGAGTCTCTGCTGGTTCTGCCACTCATGGGACAACTTGCGAACCCTGGGCTTGCCTCCCAGCATACTTGGGGGCTGGTGTGCAAGAGCCTGACTCCACAGCTGCCCTGCTGTTTGAGTCACTGAGCCCCCCAACATCACCAGTTCCCAGGAGTTTCACGAAGAGACCAACAAATTACAGCCAGATCCAGTAACAACAGAGGGAAAGATGCACATCAGCTGCTTCTGAGATCACATCTAAAAACGTTAAGTCTATGCGAATTTTGCAAAATCCAGTAGGAAATCAGAGCAGAGCACAGGAGGAGCTGGATCCATCCCCAGTGCCATCACACAGCCTTACATATCCAAAGTCTTGACCTCTGGGTGCTTCCTATCACTGGTTACCCTGGCCATGAGAGAAGTAAATGCAGGTGTGCTGGTACAGGAATGCTTTCCTTCTAGTGCACAGGTACAAACGTCACAACCGAAGACAGTAGTTCCTTCTCTGGCAGACACAACCAGAGCCCAGCAGCAGCCTTGCAGGTGACCACATGCCCTGTACCTGCTGTACAGGCATTCAGAAGTTCGCCCCATTTCAAATGAACTTACTTTGTTCTCACTAAACGTGAAGTCTTTGGCTTGGAGAAATGAAAGGAAGATAAATATCTAAAGCCATTCCTTTTAAGGGAATGGTCTCCAGCACACTTTTTGTAGATTCTTTTTTAGGCTGATCTCATTTTCTCAGCCAGAGAGGAAAGCAGCTTTTTAACAAGCCATAAACACAGATCCAGACTGTAGCATCAAGTGCTGTTGGTCTGCTTGGGCTCTGGATCACCACCTTGAATGTACAAGATGTTGAAACATCTTGTTACAGCTACAAGAGACTTCCTATAGACCGTGCACTGAACTTGCAGTCCAAGCTGCACTAGAAAGCATCTAGCCAGGAGATCCACAGAGGTGGGTATTCGCCTCTGCTTAGCACCACTGAGGCTGCAGCTGGATGCTGCATCCAGTTTCATGCTCCCCAGAAGACAGCTCTTGAGAAGCTGAAGAGACTCCAGTGCAGGGCCATCAGGATGGGCAGGAGGCTGGGACACAGGAGATGCAAGGAGAAACAGAGGGAACTGGACTTCTTCAGCCTGGAGAGGGGAAGGCTGCAGCTGGATCTAATGGCAGTCAGTCATCTGCTGCCTAAAGGGAAAGGATTTCTAGAGAAGACAGAACCAGGCTTTCCTTAGTGGTGCACAGGGGAAGGACAAGGGGCAATGGGAACAAGTTGCGGCAAGGTGAAAACTCCTTGCCACAAGAGTGGTCCAGCCATTGGACAGGGACCAGAGAGGTGGTGGGATCTCCGTCCTTGGATAGTTGATGCTCAAGTGGGAAAGGCCTTGGGCAACCTGATCTAGCTCTGGGGCCAGGCCTGCTCAGAGGAGGACACTGGACTACGAAATCCCAGAGGTCCATTCCCATCTAAACTTTCTGTGGCTTGGTCTCAGAAGATTGAGCAGGTCTGTCCAACTGTCCAGGTTCCTCCTCTGAATGCCAGGATGTTACACACAGTGGGAAATGGGCTCCACGCTGGTCCCCTACATTTCACAAAAACTTGTTTTCTGCACTCACTTGATTTACCCAGCTGAAGCAAAGTCCTCACTGCTGTGATTCAAGTTTGAATTCTCACTCTAGTTCAACACAAGGGGGGTTAGCTGCCTTCCCCTGAAACAAACTGTTAAACCACCATGAGCTCAGACCCAGTTGAAGGTCACCTTGGCTAAGCCCTTTGCTTCTGCAGCATGAGAGTGAGTCACTCAGCCTCCAGGAGACCATCATCTTGCTTTGCAGCTTTCTCATGCTGAGAAGCCCTTGAGCACCTTGCAGAGTAGCCAAGCATCATCTTGAACGATTCTCAATAAAATAAAGCACACATGGTAGTTGATGTCCCCAGTTCCTGCTCAGTGAGCAGTGCCCATCAGGCATATCTTCATCACTTAGCCTCTCCACAGCATAGCTGGGCAGTGTCAGCACCTTCATGTCCTGGATGAGAAGAGCAGACAGAGAAAACACAGGGGATGCTCCAGACAGTGAGAAGCTCTGTCATGTCAGATGCAGAAAGCAGAGCTCAGCACATACCCTCATCTGTCCGGGCAAGCCACCCATCAACTAGAAAGACTGAGGCCCTCTCAGACTCCCTGCAAGAGGCTCATGCCTAATGAAATCCAGCAGGGAATCTGGCATCCTTCAGGAAACTCACACTTCCCCCCATAAGATCTGGATTTCCTCTGGTTTGATAAAAACCTCACAACCAGCAGCCATTAACCTAAGACTTACTGAAATTCATATTTGAAAAGAAACATCTGGAAGGAGGCGTTTTGGATCTATCAAAGCGCACCGTGACTTCTGCCCCTCTAAATGACACACCAGCCACACAAAACACATAATGCTATCTGGACTTATCGTCACCACCCAGAACCCTACAGCAATGAACTTCAATATACCATAGACAACACTTACTGATGCTTCATTCCCATGGGCATCCTCATGCCAGTGCTGACAGTCCCATCCTTGCACTTGACATCTCCACAGCAAATGGCTTGTTGTCTGAGGTCATGCACGCACTAGGGAAAGCTCCCCGTGCTCGACCAAAGTTACCTCTCCCTTCATCCACTGGTGCTGAGGGAAGTCATGCTGGTTGCACTCTCCTGGACCCTCCTCTCTCCTTGCATGCCAGGAGGTGCAGCTCAACCTGACACTCAGAAACTGCCTGTATCTCCTAGCCCTCCTCTCCTCAACACTCCTGCAGCCTGCAAGCCACGCAACTCAATACTGGCTCTTACCAAGCACTCTTTCTTATCAGGACCATCCAGCAAATAGCCTGGATGTTTGGTGACCAGGCAACATGTAACAGGGTCAAACTCTGCCAAAGCCCAAATACAAACCATCCCAGCTGTGTCTCCACTTTGCATATTTTTAAGGCACACATTTGTAAACACAGTTATGTGTTCTTCTATTTGGGGGGAGGTTCTCTCATGCACCTGGCATGTACTTAATTGCTTAATTACTAAACCCTACGAAAAGTGCGTGGGCACACTTGAGTCATTAGAGACACCATGCACTCAGTTCCTGCTCTGTAACTCGAACCCTTCCACTTGGAAACTTTACAGCCAGCACAATCTCCTCTGAAAAGGGAGCCTGGGTTTCTTGCCTGAACTTCTGTTAGTCCTCGGACTTCTGCTCCTCTGGCACACTCCAGTTGCAAGGAACAGCTGAACCCTGATGGATGCCATGTGAACACAGGAGCAGAAAGGCTCCTGTCTTGCACTGAGCAGTGCCTCAGACCCTTCAACAGGCAATGGCAACGTCCTGTAAAACAGAGGCCCTGCCACACTGCCCGGAGCAAAGCACAGCAAGCTGTTAGTAACACACCTTCGTCTGCCTGTTCCTGATCCCATCCTACTGCTGGCACAGCTGAAGCAGAGGAAGTGAAAGTGAAATGCTCCATCAAGGTGCAGCTAATAAGCCCTACATAGGTTGATGCTTAATGAACACTGGAGCAAAACGAGTACTGTTCCAGCAGCAACGAGCATATGGTGTATGCTGTGCACTAAATCTGAATGAGACATTTAACAGAGGTGGGACCCTCACACACTCCTCTGAGGCCTGAAGAAACAAAGATACCACTTCCAGCTGGTAGAGCTACTAAACCACACAGTGCTGGAACAGGGCAGAGCTCTGGGGAAGCATCCCCATAGCCCTGTTTCCATGCTTCCCCCAGGGCATCTGCTACTGGATGCTGCCAGCCAGAGTATACTGGGCTGGACAGACTTTGGTATGACCCTGGATAGCCTCTGATAAGTGTTTATCTCATTCACCATGAGTGAACAGGAAGAACTCCCTCCCAGGAGGGTGATGCAGCTCTGAGACAGGACACCAGGCAGGTGGGGTCTCCATCTTTGGGGGTTTCTAGACATAGGCCATATGAAGCCACAACCTCCTTGGCTGACATCTGCTGTGACCTAGGGATGGACTAGAGAACCGCTGAGCCACCAGCAGTGCTGGAGTCCTGGGACAAAAAAACATGTGGCTGTTTAGTAACACAGAGCCATGGAACACAATTTTCATCTCCTGTTTCTTCCAAGAGTCTGGTAATTTTACCAAGTAAATATGTTTTGACTGCAAGTCCCTGCCTGGAATGGAGAAGTGAAGAGAGTCTTCCTAGCTCATGATTAGCAAACAGCTGTCAACTACAGAGGAAAAAAATCAGAAAGCAGATCCCAGCCTCCTCCCTTGAACTGTGCTGGGCTTTCACAAAAACTCCACATGCCTGGAAAACACTGAAGCAGCAAACAGAAAAGTAAAACAGTTCATCTGCAAACATTATATTCAGTAGCACGTTGCTCTAGAGGATGGAGTTACACATCTAGCAACAGGGGACAGACGCTTTCTTACAAAAGGATCATTCAGGATCTTTTGAAAAGATAAATCAAACTGTCCTTTGGGTGAATGAAAGTAAAACACAGGCAAAGGAAATCAGTAATGAGATAAACCAGGCTGTCTCCACATCTGTTTGACTTTCCAAATACACCAAGCAGGAGGGGAGGCAGCAACATATTCCCAATATTACGCAAAAACCTATTATCTGGAGAAAAGCCAGCAGACCATCACAGCTGAGAAATGTGTGGAGAAAAGAACAAGATGAGTCAGGCTGGAAAACAAAGCAATGCTGAAGGCGTGGTGGTGGTGGGGGAAGAGCCCTGACAGGAGGAAAACAGAGAACTTGAAATGAGCAGCAGTGAGCACACAATGCAGTGTCCTTGTTGGAATACCTGAATGCATGTACATTAGGGCAACAGAGGCTGTCAAGAGACAACAGCACAGACTCTTCTACACCACTGTAAAAGGCATTCGGCTCCGGGCACCATGCTGCTAGCAAGTCAGTGCTTGGCTTTAATGTTGCGGCCCAGCTCCTCCTTCCGAGGGGACACAAGATGAAGGGCTCACTACCATACACTGAAGTAGGGCTTGCATGCTCAAAACCTTGTCTAGTATTCACTCTACCGGGTAGTCTGAGAGAAGGTGCCACCTCTTGCCGCAAACCAAGTCTCTTTGATGAGAAATGAGGAATTCATTCTTCACTCCTGTGCGAGCTGGCAGGTGACACATGAAGAAGGGATTTTATATATACCTAAAAATAACCTCAGCCACATGGCTGAGCACCTTTCTGGCTCAAGGCCCAATATCCAAGGAAAGATGTAAAGCAACTAGAGGTAGGGCAGCCGGTCCAGAAGGGGGGCAGTGGGCAACAGGTTCTGCCCGCAGACCATCCAGGACCATTTCAAAAGCAGGAGCAGATAGATGGGCACGTCCGGATGGCACGGGAGTGTGGGCAGAAGCTGTGTCCAGCTGTGTGAAGGAAAGTTATCTTTGAGATAGGCAGCGCCTTACAAGCAAGGTGGCGACTAATTCAAGGCGGTCAAGTATGGCCATGGAAAATACACCACAAGGACTCAAGGAATCCCCCCCCCCCCCCCGCGCTGATTTCTACTTTTCCCGCACAAAAGCAGTGCAGCTTTCTATTGATCCATCCCCCGGAGAACCATTTCCCAGCAGAGCTCCCGGGATTACAAACGCCAACAGCGGTCAAAAAGAACTACCGGCGCCCTTCGCCACCCGCCCGGCGCGGCGCAGGCCCTTCTCCGGCACCTCCCGGCGCTGCCCCGCGGTCCCGGCTCGGCCGCGGACCCGCGTGGGGGGCGCGGCCTGCCAGCCCAGCGCCTCCCCCGCGAGCTCCCGGCTGCCTGCCGGGGGGCAGAGCCCCCCC